TAATGAAATCTATACAAAAGTATATTAATTTCTAACGAAAATTCAACAGAATTTCGTCTATTTTTTGGTCAAAACCAAATTTTTATAAATTGAAATTATAGAGCCCCACAGACACAATATCATACACAATTTATATCGTCACAATTTTGTTACTACCATCACTTATATAACTACATTGTTATATGTAGTTTTCATAATTCACACTTCATGATTAATTTCTAACCAAAATCCGGCAGAGTTTCCTTTGTTTTTTGGCAATAATTTTAAATGACACAGTGAAACCTGCCAATAAAAAGCCCCACGGGCATATTCAAGCAGATCCAAGTATAATTGTACACATCATCAATACATTGAAAAAAACTATATTCATCTTAATTTTAAAACTGTATCATTATTTGTCTTCACTTGAGAGTTCCACTCGGAATGAGTCGAAACTTACATCCAATCACTATTTTATGGGGACAAAACGTATAAACAATTGAATCAACGAGTTAACGACCAACAATAATATGACTAAGAATCTCTACCTATGAATTGTAGTAAGTAAAATTTTATTACTTAAACTTTTTGCCCAACAAATATAAGTGCAAGAACATCGTACCTGTGGGTTAAGGCAGCAATGAAAGTGCGCACCACAGAGAAAGAGAGCAGCGTTAGGGTCGACGCTGCAGTGGGGTGGAGGTGGAGGATGCAATGCGACGTTAGGGTCGAGGCTGTGGTGGGCTGGAGGTGGACAATGCAGTGCGGGCGGAGGGTGCGGTGGGGTGGAGGTTGTGGTGGGGTGGGGTGGAGGTGGAGGCCGCGGTAGGGTGGAGGTCGAGGCCGCGGTGCGGCTGGAGTCCGCGGTGGACAATGCGGCGCCTATTGTCGCGGTGGGGTGGAAGTTGTAGTGGGGTGGAGGTGGAGGCTCCGGCGGGGGTGTCACGCGCTCTAGGGTGCGCGGTGGCGACGTGAGGGAGGGCGTTCAGAGAGTCTAAATGAGGGTGCTAGGTGGTGGTCGCGATGCTGGAGAGTAAGGGGAGATACAGAAATGTTAGAGATGTATCCTTTTCAAATGGGAAAATGCTTTTCCACGTCGATTATACCCCCACCCGACGTTGAAAGCCCTTGCAGAAGGGTTTTCAACGTCGGTTGAAGTTATAACCGACGTCGAAAGCCTACTTTCCACGTCGAGTATGCTAAAACGACGTAGAATGTGTCAGAATTCAACTTTCAATGTCGGTTGTTCACCAACCGATATTGAAAGTGTATTCAACATCGGCTTAAATTTAACCGACGTTAAAGAGTGACGTTGAAAATATATTTTGTAGTAGTAAATAGAATAATAAATGACACTCGTGGCTATTTTGATAATAAATTGAGAAGTCAAAATCTTATTATCCTGTCACTTTTTTTTTTTTTCATAAAGATAGCTTTATTGGATTAGTGGGCTTGGGAAGAGAGCCATCGATAAAGAAAGTACATCTTATTTTCTGATTTAAAAGCGATAACGTGTCTCCAAAATCCAAAATTGTCACTGTTGAGAAGAGTAGAAACAAGACTTTGCATGTGACCATCGTCGTTTAAAAGAATAGAAACAAGATTTTGACTCGGATAATCGCCGTAGTGAATGAAAAGAAGATCATGTGAATCCAACGGAGTGGAAGCAACTGAAGTCATGGTAAACAAAAGAGAAAAAATAAGATACTAAACATATTTAAACAAATTAATACCATAGCAGAGTTATATTTGAAATTATCAAAATAGAAAAAAAGAAAAAGGGAATAAGGAAGACAAAAAAAAAACATAATTATGAAAAATGTACAAAAGTGAAGAAAGTACAGGAGCTTAAAAATTCAAACAAAAACAGTAAAACATGTGAAAAAATACAATTAAAAAAACTAAGAAAAGTAACTAATGAAGAATATGATAAAAAGACATCTAATAATTATATTGAAATAGATATAATCTTTACCTAACATACTTTTTCAAATTTAAATGATTAGATAAATGTTTTAATAATTTAATCTTTAAAAATAATTTTATAATTAATTATTAAAAAAATTAAAAATAAAACAAATATTCAGTTTTTTCTTTTATTTTTCTTTTCTGAATTATAATATTTTCTCTTTGTCCAGCCACCCTTGTCATGTCTACACCAAACTTCTTTGATGTAAAGGAAGAAAATGATTAGATATATTATAAAATTAATAAAAAACCTAATATATTAATTATTAATATTTAATAATAATAAAAAACTATGAATGTTTGCATCTTAACAATATTTCCACGTAGACAACCGAACATTGGGATACTTTTCCAATGAAACTTTGCATGTTTGTCGTACTGGTCACATTTAATACTCAAAGAGCCGTCATCAATTGACTAGTTTTAAAGAGTAGCTAGCAGTATTTAAAACAATAACGTAAATATTTATCAGATCATTATCATTTTCATCATCATAATAATAATATATAAAAATTATATACACTAAAAAAATAGTTGTAAAAAGTGATATATATAATATTAATCAGCATCCGAAAAAGACTTAATAATTATTACGATTAAAAGTTAATTACTATTATTTTGAAAGAATTATTTTAAATAAATACATTCAATAGATGTTTAAAAATGTCATAAAATGTTAATATTGTTTAGAATTTAACACAAATACTAAAGATAATTAAAAAATAAAATATTTAAAATAGTTGGGATTAAATTATAGAAGAGTGACAAGTTGAGAGAAAAACATTACAATGGAGACTGGTATGTTATACTATAAAACAGTGGGAGGGGATGCGGGCTCTCAGACAAGTGGTACTACTGAGTCAAAACTCTGACTCTGACTCACCAATCATGTCACGTGGAACCAAACTCAGAATTCTCCACGTGATGGAAACTTCACAGAAAATATAAATTCTTAACTCATTATACCACCACCCTCGCAAGTGTGATTATATAATCATTTACTAATTTATTATACAAATGCAAGTGTGCGCAAAACATGTTTTTCTCAGTCAATTTTCAATTAACATCATAAAGAAAATTCCAGGTACCTACCCTCTTTTTCTAGATTTATGACCAATTTTGCAACTATATATACAAGCCTTGCCTTGCTTCCCAAGCACATTTCTGCATTCACTTCAGCATTTCATTTTGCAAGAATATTCTTTCTTTCCTTCCTTCAGATATCCTGCTAAAGCAACTCCATGTAAGTACTACCTTAGATTTTATCGTCTTAAATTGTTCAACAATTAAATCAATTGTGACATGGAAATTAACCAGTTAATTTCCTTGAAGTTAGCTTGACAGGAAACATCTATCAAATCAACTATGGCAACCAATATTGGAGGAGACTCGGGGAAAGAGATGAAAGGGTGGAGAAAAGCTTTGAAATGTGTAGGGAATAGGATGGCACACAAGGACAAGGATAAGTGGTTGAAGGACATGAGGGGAATGCTGAGTTTGATGGCGACAGTAATCGCAACTATGACCTTTCAAAGTGGTATTAGTCCACCAGGTGGCGTTTTGTCTCCAGACAAGGATAATGGAGTCGAATGCGACAATAAGTCATGTCCTGGACAATCTGTTCTTGCTCTGGTTTATCCAAAAGATTTTAAATATTTCCTTTACTTCAACACGATATGTTTCGTTTCATCTTCAGCTGTTTGTCTCTTGCTCGTGAGTGGATTTCCTCTGAAAAACCGGTTTTTCACCTGGCTCTTGTCTATAGGGATGTGCATCGTCCTCAGCACCCTCTCTCTAACCTACTTGTTCGGTGCACAAATGGTTGTCCCCGATCTGCTTTGGGATGACATAACAACCATGTTCGGAAAGGTTATTATAGTGTGGTTGGTACTGTTGGTACTCATCGCAATCTTCCTTTCCCTGCGCCTCATTGTTTGGTTTGTTTCTAAATGCATGTTCGGACAAAGTAAAGTTCCACAAAATCCAACAATTTAGTTATCCTCGTGCATAGCAAGTCAAACTTCTTCTTTACTCATGCAGTAGTAAATAATCAAACATGCATGTATGCATGTCTTTCAATGTACGCGTCATTGTACGTAGGTTTTATATTTTCAACTATCAAGTGTTATTGTTTAGTGGTTTGCTATATGTAATTTTGTATTTTTGAACTTTGGAAGTTGAGTAGGGGCTGTTATAGGTTCATAATTGTATGGTTAAAACTTTTTGGTGATATTTGCGGTCACTTGACATACCCGTATTCAAATTGATTACTCTTATAGAATAGTGATATTTTACAAGTAATTAATAAATTAAAAGAAGTTTAACCATGCACAAAAATGTTAAAAAAAAATATTGAAGATATTATATGATAAAAAAAAAGATAAAAAAGGGTGTTTAATAGATATTTATCAATAAAAAACAATAAGTTTGCTCATTTTTTTTCTTTTCTGCAGTATAACTTTTTTGTCTTTTTTTACAGCGACCTTCACCTCTCTGCAGTATATACCATGAGAGTTAGAGGGGATGAGCTCTTATGTAGATGTGAGTTTGTGAACAAAGGTTTTTGTGCAAAAGTTGGAATTTAAAAGTTGCAACTTGAATTCTGGAAAATCATTTTTTTATGATCAACTTGAACTAATACAATGTCTAGTACATTACAAATTATAAATTAACATATCCGACACCTCTTTCCATTAAATTACTTATTTATCCCATTCGCGTGCCCACCACTTTCTCCAGCTCCTGAAATTTAACACCTTTTCAAAAGTGGCTTTGATTATCAATATATATTACATAAAAACCTGACTCTCCAATCACGTAAAACCAAACCCAGAAATTATCTACATGACGGAAATTTCACAGAAAACTAACATTCTTTAACTCATTATGACCAGGCTTGCCCCGAAGAAGTCTTCCATTAATATTATATATATGGAAGCGTGAAGGAAAAAAAAAAGCATGGTCCTTGTTATTTCCATTTGATAAAATTAATATCTCTAGATAAAAATTTGAACCATGGATGGAATGTCAGTACGAAAGCGTGGTGGGGCGAAATGAAAGGCGTACGATGGCGTAATTGGATGGAAGATAAGAGAGGGTCTCTAATGGTGGTGGCCACAGTTATTGCAACCATGACTTTCCAAATTGCCATAAACCCTCCAGGGGGTGTTTGGCAAGCAAAAACACATGACCAGCAAGGTTGTGAAGCTGGTAAAATATGATAACTTACCCACAATCATAATCTTATCTTACAAATAAAACTCTCATAATCAAATAATAACCATAAAAAATATCATTAATATTAAAATGTCACAAAAAACTTCTAATTATCTTTTCTATTTAATTTTATCTTAATAAACTTTAAAACTAATTACCTTATATTTTTTTAATTTAATTTTTATCCAACAAAACTCTCCCATCAAATTAAATCTCTCTATAATAAACTTGAGATGCCGATCTCCTCACCTTCCAAGTTGTCGTCTTCAAAACTTCTCGAACTTAGCCAACTTGTCAATTTGTTTGGGTTCTCGATTACCCAAGTTTCTTCCATCATTCATCTCGATTAGTCTCTTGCAGTTCTCGAATAACACAGTAGGTAATAGCTTTATGAAAATATCAACAACTTGATCTCGATTTGCTACATGTACAAGTTCCACATTCCCTTCTTGCACATGTTTTTGGATGAATTGAAAATGCACATCAACATAATTGCTCATTTCATGATTAATCTGATTCTTCGCCAGTTTAATGATCGACTTTCATTAACTTGGATTACAGTTGCACCGAATTGTTTCTCCTCCACCGAGCTTAGCAAATTTTTGAGTCACACTACTTCACGATGTTGCTACTTACTTGGCTTTATAGATTGACAATGTTACTATGGGTTATTTATTTGAAAGTCAAGTAAACGTCGTGTTATCCATGAAGAGTACATACCTTGGTGTAATACAGTATAGTCAATCCGTGTTGAATTTTACAACGACATAATTATAGAAACGTACTCATTACTACATGTTATTCTCTTTAAAAACAAGTACATAAGGAGATTGATGAAAAAGTGAAAAAAAAATACAGACTAATAAAAATTAAAATTAACTTGCTATAGAATATTAGAGACAAATAATATTAAATTGAAACAGTAATTTAAATAATTGAAATTTATGATATTAAAATAAAGTGTTTTAATTAAAAGTAAAAGAATAAAAAATTATTTTAAAACAAAATAGTGCATTAATTAAAATTAAATTGACGCAAAATTTAAATAACTTAAATTTATAAAATTAAAATAAAATTTTTTTAATTAAAAGTGCAAGAATAAAAAATTACTTTAAAATAAAATAGTGCATTAATTTAAATTTTAAATTTCTAAAAGCGATAACTCTAAAACTAAATTGAGAATTTGAATTGGAAAAGAGATGAATTGAAAATGAAAAATAAACAAGTACTAGAATAAAATAGAAATTTTTAAACAATTAAATAGGAAAATAAAAATGAACACTCGAATGAATAAAATAATATAAACTAGAAAATTTAATAGAAATTAGAAATTAAATAGGAGAGAACAAACCGAAGTATAGTAGTGATAGATGAACTAGTCTAACTAAAAGCTAAGAACAAAAATGAAAATGGGGACGAGACTAAATAGCTAGTCACTCGGAGCGAGAGATTGCGATTGTGTTTTCATTGTACCTTTATTTATAGGGGACTCGAATAAGAGAAATTAAACCTAAAATTGATTACAATAAAATTAATTGTTTTCCAAATTAAAAATTGTAAAATTGAATTGCTATGATAAAAAATTTATGGGATCTGATTTGGAGGAAATAATACACTTATTTCCTATTTTGCTTGATCTATTAATAAGATGGTTAGATTGATTATCTCCAATTCACCTTTTTTTTTTAATAAGAGAAAAAAAATATATCAATTATAGTTGATCTCTCCTAAATAATCAAACTTATAAATTTACTAAATATAATCATCAATTTAATGATATATTTTAAAAATATTATTTTAATATTTTCAACAATAAATTTAAATATATTATTAATCTAATAAATATATTAATCTTTTTAAAACTGTAATTTAAAATTATAAATTTTAAATAAAACATTATAATATATATATTATTTTATTTAATGTATATTTGAAAAACTAATCAATTATTTAAAAAACTAATCGATTAATTTTTCAATTACTCGATTATGATAGATTCATTTTTTAAATAATTGATTACTTTTTCAAATAATGGATTAATTTTTAAATAATTGATTAGAATCAATTAGTTTTTCAAATATACATTGAATAATTACAAATAAAAATATATATCAAATTACAATTAAAAAATAATTATTTATAAATTATATATATTATATAAATTATAATTATAAAATTAAAAAAATTATATTTAGAATTATAACCTTAAAAAAATTATAATTATAAAATTAATAAAAATATAACTATTTTTAATTTTAAATAAATGATATATATTATATAAATTATAATTATATATATACATATATATATTACAAAAATTAAAATTACATATATAAACTTTAAATTAATTATATATATTGCATAAATTAAAATAATAATTATCAACTTAAAAATAAATTATATTTATAATTATATATATATATATATATATATATATATATATTCCAAAATATAACTTATTTTTATTTCTAAAATAATATATATATATATATATATATATATATATATATATATTCCAAAATATTACAAAACACAAAAAAAAAATTTCAAAAACATAATTTTACATAAAAATATTTATCATCTTACATGCATATAATTTTTAAGTCTTTTATTATCCTCCTAATTTATTATTAATTTTCAAAAAAAATATTACAATATCAAATAAATCAAAGAATTAAAAAAAATTAATCATACAAATAATATATAAATATAATATTTAATAATATATTTTAAAAATATTATTTTACTACTTTCAACAATAAATCTAAATATATTATTAATTTAAGAAATATATAAATCTTTTTAAAATTATAATTTAAAACTATAAATTTTAAATAAATCATTATAATATATATATATATATATATATATATATATATGTTTTTCTTTCTTAACCAAAAGAAAAACTAATTCATAATTCGATTGCTTGGAAAATAGATTTCTAAATTGTTTGAAAGAAAAAATAATATGCAATCACGTTCAGGTTTTGTATATCGGGAATCTAATTCACAACTTAAAAAAAATTATACTATCTAGCTAAATAAAACCTACAGTATATTATTTGAGTAATTAAAAAACGAATACGTGTCACGGTAGAAAAAATTTTGTATAAAGTAAAAAATATTTCAACTAAAGATAATTATATTTTTATAAATAATTTAATTACATAATATATTTATTATTTAATGTATATCAATTATATTTTGATATAAATTTTTTTGGTATATCAATTATATAAAAATAACCATGGTTAAGCAATTAATAATAATAAAGCAATAAATTTAAAAACTAGATTAAAAATAAAGTATTATAAAATAAAATTGTAATAATTTGATTGAAAATGTAATTTTTTTAATTAATTAAGTTAACGAGGAATTAAAATATGATAATTTGATGTGTTTAATTTTTTTTAAATTTCAATTTTAAAAAAATATAATTTAATTTCAATTGAAATTTTCAATTAAAAAATATATTAAAAAAATATTTGTTATTAAACATTGTATTGAATAGTTAATATCACTCCAATCTTAATTTATTATAATTTAATTTTGTAATAACTTTGATTTATTTTTAATAATATTTTTCCTTTAGTAATTTAAAATTAAAGTTAATATTAATTTTGTTAATATTAGATGTTTTAGTTAGAGTGAATAACTTCATATTTCCTGTTGATTTTGTGATTATGGACATGGAGGAAAATGAGGAAGTCCCATTGATCCTGGGGAGGCCATTTATGAAGACTGCCAAAGTAATTATAGATGTTGACATGTGCAAGTTGAAAATTAGAAGTGGAGATGATAAAGTTAATTTTAATCTATTTGAAGTTGTACAACAACCGGAAGACAAGAAAGATTGTCTCAAAATAGACACTTTGGAGGAATTAACCATCTCAACTGAAAAACAAGATTACAAGCCTGTTGCACAACCCCAAAGACATCTTAGTCTGACTATGAAAGAAGTTGTTCAAATAAAGGTACTGAAACCTCCTGAAGCAGGTATGATTTATTCAATCTCTGACAGTTGTAAGGTTATTCGCAATGAAAAGAATAAAATCGTTCCCACAAGGACAGTTAAGTGATGGAGAATGCGTATATATCACCTTGATCACTCACCTGCATGAGCCCTAAAGCAAATAGGCGTCAAGCTGAAGACGTTAAACAAACACTCCTGGAAGGCAACCCAATGTTTTGAATTTTTTTTTTCTTTTTGCAGTTTAAGTTTTTTTGTGCATTTTTCTTCCTTAGGTTCTTTCTGTGCAAGATTGCTCCAGGTACACAGTGCACTTCTCCTCAAAACTTTGAAGTCTTACTTCAATGGCCTGGGAACAGTCCAACTTTTTTGGAGGGGGTGAGAAAGTCTGCAGCTGAGGCTGAGACACAAGATAAGGAGTACATGACAAGTGAAGAAAATGAGGGAGGAAACTTACTTTGCTTTTAATGTTTTTAATTCCTTTGTTTTTAATTTAATGTTTTTAATTGTTTTATTTTAAATTTTGAATTCCCTTGTTGTCTCATAATTTGTTTTAGATTCATATATGAGATTATTGCTTATTGTCTAATTCAAATCTAGAACGTGAAAAATAATTTTAATTGTTTCCAATAACAAGTGATTTTGGGATATTGAGTATGATAGTAAAAAGGAATTGATGAGGAAAATTAGGAATTAACTGAATTGGAGAAGCTAGCCAAAACCCAGGTGAGCAGAGTACCACAAACAGATAAATTGAGTGTCAACACTTTGTGATGATAACTGATATTGGTTGATTCTTTGATATGATTGCATGTTGGCAGGACTTGAAAATGATAAAGGCATTTTTTTTCTTTGTAGTAGATATAACCCAGAGCCAAATAGCCAACCATGCATTAATTATAGGACATCCATTTGAACCCCTTCTGAACCAAAAATAATATTGTTTCTTAAACAGAACCCTTAAGCCTAAACATTATTTATCTACCTTCCTATATTTGAGAAAGGAAATGAGTATGAATGTCACTATTTTTCTTATTGTTGGGTATTGCTATTGTTGTCCTACATGTATTGTTGGGGTGTTATTGTAAAAAAAAAAAAGTGTAAAGAAAAAGGAAAAACAAAGCTTAAAAATTTGCAAAGCCAAAAAAAGGATACATGCAAAAGCAAAAAAAAAAAAAAAAAAGAGAAGTCAAAAGGGGAGTAATAACTTGTGATATTATTAACTCATTGTCATTGTGTTAGGGACAAAAGCATGAAGTTTGAAACCTAACTTGAGGAATTGTTAATCAAGAATCATTCATATGAGTTGAATTTCTCAAATATTTTTGTATATCCCAGAAAAACCAATAATTCTTTCTTAGCTCAACCCCATTACAAGCCTCAAAAGACCTTTTGATTTAAATCTTGCTTAACAATTGTTGATTGCTTGAAGATGATTATCAATATTGGATTGTCTAAATGAAGTGATTGAATGAGATAAACACTTACCTGTGAGAATTAGAGATGAGTATATATAACTCTATTTGAGAGATAATGCTTCTCTGAGGATAGTTGAGGACTAATTATTCTTTGTTGGTTTCTATAACTTGAATGCTTATGTGTTCTATTTTCATTTGGAGTTGTGAGCATCACCCCTGAAAATTTTTATGTTGTGGTTCTAGAAGAGAAAGAGATAATAGGTGATGATTTTGTTTTGGAAAAATTACTTTGCTTGGGACAAGCAAGATTCTAGGTTGGGGGGATTTATTAAGTGGTAAAAAGTTGATATAATTATGCCTTGAATTGTTATGAAATCACTTAACTTATGTTAATTCTAATATATTTTTCTCTCAAAATAGGATGAATTCGAGAATACCTTGGTACAATAGTAAGGAGCATAATTGTTAGCATAATTGGAGTAAAATTGAAAGAAAGAAGAGCGCTTAAGCGAATAAATGATGCGAGGTCCGGCCCAAATTCTCTTATAAAAAGATAAGTTGTGTTTTGAGAAAAGGAAAGGAGAGGAGACACGACTACTGTTAGGGTTTTGTCCAATCTTTACTTCTTCATCAATTGGAGCATTGTAATGGCCAACATGAGTGACTAACTTCATTCTCTTAGGATTCGGTGCACTTCCTTTGAACTCTTTTGTATCATGGTGATATTTTGATATATTAATCTATGCTTTGATGTTGTTATTCTTATCATTTATGCTTTGGAATGATTTATTCTTGATTGTTTGAGGTATGATTGGAAAATATATCTTGAACCTAGATCACGGTAAGAATATTTGTTACGTTAATTGCCAGGAATTGAATGAATGTATCAAGTGCTTAAACACCCTAACCCTAATGCTGGAAAATCTCTTAATTGTGTGAGAAATCAACATTCATTAGGTTTTCTTATGAATTTCATGTGTGAGGAATCAACATGGATGATTTGAGTAAGTGACATCAACATTGTTAGGTTAATTGACGTTCTTAATTGATTTAACCATTACAAAAGAGGGATAAGGAAGTCAATCCTAAATACCTTTAATTGATATTTTTTCAACAATTTACAGTTCTTTGTCATTTAAATTCAACTCAACTCTTATTTGCAAAACACAATCTGTTTAATATACTTAGTTAGCATAATTGAGAATTTTTATTGAAATTGTTCCTCGTGAGATCGACTTTTATTTTATCGAAATACTATACTGCGATTGATAATTTTGGTACGCTTACCAATAATTCAACATATATCAGGCGGTAACTAATTATTCATTTATTAAAGTTGTTTATTTACCGACAGACATATTTGTCAGTAACTAATTATTCATTTATCAAAGTTGTTTATTTATCGACGAACATATATGTCGGTAATTAATTATTTATTTGCCAATGAATATACGTTGGTAATTAATTATTCATTTACCGATAGATTTATTGACAGATATATCTGTCAGTAATTAATTGTTTATTTATCGATGAATATATTTATCAGTAAAATTAAATTCCATAATTATCCTAAATACATCTGTACTTTTTATCAATAATAACTTATTTTTAGATGGATACATGAATATATATCTGTTATATAAATTTTTCCTGTAGTGACCGTATCCTTCTCGTTCTTCACCCCTTATTTTTCCATCTCAGTAATTTGCACCGCTGGAGCCTACGCCATTTGCATTTGGATGATATTGAATCCTCTTAAAAAACTTGTTGGAACCATCACCCTTTATTATGCACTGTTTTGGGGAGGGTTCCCTGTTTTGATCTGTCTGGCAATCTTCTGTCGCCTTGCGTTTTGGATTCTCAAGAGATTCTCCCGCTTCTTGTGTTGCCCCCACAAGAATATCACAGGATCTGTTTGAGCTTGTTTGTTTAAATTTATAGTAATAATTTCCCAATATGGGTGTTTCTGTTACATCTGTGCTTATTTCGTACTTTTAAGACCACAAATTTTATTTATACTGCATAATAAAGTAAATTTGTTATGTGTATGGAAGAAAATGAATAAGCGATGACATGATTTACAGCAATTTTTATATTTGCAATCAAAGTTTAAATTTATCTTCCATGATTTTTCATTGTCTCCTAATCTTAGGGAAAGTAAAACATTAAAAAATTAGTTAATTATTATTTAAATAATAAAGACATTTTATTTGATGAGACAATTAGGAACGTTTGACTTTTTTCGACATTGGAGTGATCCATTTACTTTTAAATTTGATTAACTTTATTCGTTTTATATTTAATTTCTTAAGTTTCGGCAAAGTTTCATTATAACTTTTCTTTTTCTCTTTTAGATAATATATATATATATATATATATATATATATATATATATATATATATATATATGAATCTTATCAACCTGACACTCGTCTTATGGAGAAGATATTTCCATATTCAAATTAATAGGTATATCTGTTGAATAATATATAAATATATAATTAATGGGTACATTTAATTTCTATCTTATGTTATTTACTATAGTTTAGATGAACTTTAGTATACATTTTTAAAGCTTTTTAACTATCTAGTCTTAAATAATTATTTTGATTATATTATCAGTTTTATGCTAACCGCGGTTCTGCATAATGCTGACAAACATTTTCAGATTCTAATTACGCAAATAATATAGGTATAAGTACTTATCAATACCAATTTGTAATCTAAACCATTCATTTATTTTAATGAAATATCTCTATAGTGATCATGCAAAGTCTCTATCATGGTGAAGAAAAAGGCTGAAAGTCACCTCACATAGATCTCTCCCACATCATTAGCGAATCATGATCGCAAAAGTTAGGTTCCAAAATGAGCGTCCGTCACACCCAAATTTCAAACCTTTTCTCTCTTCCAATTTTTTTCACCTTTTCTTGATCCAAAAATGGCTTCGTGGAGGTACATATTTTGTGCTGTCGAATATTTGTACAAAAAACTTGGGGCTTTGCACGTTTGATTTGGGGTTCAATGACTATGCATATATTGGAATAATTATGCAGGGTACTTGTCAAGGATTATTCTTCATATCTTGGTGGGGAATGAACTTCGTTCACCTCTAAATTTAAGTACTTAATTCAACGTACGTTTCACTGCATTTGAATAATAATTTATTTGGAATTCTCGACGTTTACAATCCAGAACAAACACGTAGCATGGAATATAAACTTCTAGTTTTTTCTCAAAGTTCGCGTTCAGGTATGATAATTATAAGTTTTGATTACTTTGTGTGTACTTTTCTTTGTATGATTGGATTTAATCAACTAAAAATGCTCACAACTTTGTTTTTGTTCTTGCTGTATAAAAGACTTTATGCTTCCGTAGGAGGACATGTTCTTTCACCACTATTAAATTGTGGCTTTTATGTTCTGTGTGGGTCCTAAACTTTATTTTGTGGGTATGCTTCTCGTAGAAGAAATACCCAGAACCATACTAGAAAATGCTAATATTATGTTTAATCAAGAAAGATCTTATAATTTCGGGTTTAGATTCAAATTAAGCTCATTACACATAGGCTGCACAGGAAAAAAATTTGTTTTTTAAAAAGATGGGATATTTTGAAGAAAACAAGTGCACTAGATTGATGATGGTAAAAAATTATTCATTTCAAACTAAAAAATAGACTTTTTCAATGCTATAGTTTTCAACATTTTGTAGATATGATTTCTTCACATTAATCCAAAGACATTAATTATAAAATATTCCATCTTACCCTTTTCAATAAGACAAAGAATCATTAGGGAGAAAAGATTTTTTACCTCACCAAATCAAATTAAAAATAAAAATAACTTACTTTAAAATACCATAGTATTTTTATAAATAAGAGATACAAATTTTACGTCAGGATTAATGCAAAAGTCGTTTTTTACGTTTTTTTTTTACATATTTGAATATTAATATTTTTAATTTGTATTTTTTTTATCATGTTAATTTTATATAATCATATTTAGGGATTACATTGTGGTATAATTTTGTTCATTATATCGAAAATCAAGTCAAGAAATAAAAAGTATGTTATAAGGGTAATTTTATCTTTTTTTATTAATTATATTTTTAAAATATAAATATATATTGAATAATATCTTATTTTATTTCAATTAGAATTGTGTCCAAAACTAATATTTTAAGTGGAAGACCCAGAACCAAAAATTTACATTTCATTTATCCTAAGGTTATAAACTTATTTATATAAATAAATATTATAATTATTGTTTGTATTTAAATTTTGAAAATAACATTATGTTTTGTTTCTCAACTCGTGTAATAAGCAAACAAACTCCTTTGAATATGACTATGTATTGGATGAGAGTCATAATTTCACGGGTATAACTAATTCTTAGACTGGAGGTAATTACTTTCAACATTTGTTAAGTTGATTTACCTTTATACGTATTACATGTTAATAAGAGTCAAATTAATGTTTCAGTGTATTTCAAGATCAATATTCACTATTAGAACATGATATTACACAAATTAGAGAACAAACAATTAACAAGGTTTTTAGTTTAATATTTCTAGTACTTAATTTGTAGGTTATTGTTTGTATTATATTGTTATATATTGTATTATATAGTTTAACATTTAGATAGATTAGTTTATATAATAGCTTAATCTTTATATTAGTTTAACATGTTTACATTTTAAGTAGTTTACTTTGTACTAGTTTAGTTTTTATAGTTTGTATTATATTATGTTATTGTATTTTTGAATTACTATCTATTAAAAATCTAGAATCTGTCTCTGATTAAAATATATTTGCAGGTTTTAATTGTAATAGAAAACAAATTTAATATTAAAAAATAATAAAATTTAAGTCGGGTATTGACACACTTAACATAAATTTTGTCCCATTTTTTAATTTTCAAAACTCTTTTATATTTGTTTTGTATTTTTTTTGACATAAAATTGAGGTTGATTCTCCATATAACTAATGTAAATTAATGTTGATTATTATGTTTAAGATAAATTTACATTTAACGCCACACTTATATATAAGGGAAAAAGACCAAAATAACATTCATATACTCATTTTATACTAATAAGTATATAATATATTAAATGATAGAGAATAAAGAACACTTTCTCCGTTACATCACTCTTTAAGTTAATATTAAGTCAAGAAACAACCTTAGACCAGAAAGTTAATATTACACCATAATATTTAGAAAATAATACTCTTATTCTTTATGAACAATTTGCATCTATATATATATATATATATATATATATATATATATATATATATATATATATATATATATATATATATATACATACATATAGGTGCCTTTCCTGGCCTCAAAAGCACATTTCATCAATCACTTTCCTTTTGTGAGCACTATACGACAACAAAGGTATGTAAGTTGCAACACTTCTTAAATCTTTCAAATGTTTATAACTCTTTTCTTTTGACGTCTTAAGTTGGTTTTCTCTCCTCTACATCTATTTATTAGCATCATTTAAACATATTTTTAATTAGGAAAGCTAAATCATTATTTTAGTCACTCATCAAACTATATATAAGTTAAACCATGCAGTAAATTATGTTAGCAGTTTTTTTCTTATAAATATGATTCATTGAACTTAAAATGAACATTAACCACTATATTTCATATTAATTTTAGAAACCACCTCATATACAACATACACATTCATGCAACTAATTACACCTACAGATCTAATATGAACAGCTGTTAATAATTTGGTTGAAGGCATGGAAGATCCATCAGTTACGATGAACACTGGAAGGGAGAAGATAGACAAGACAAAATGGTGGAGAAAATATGTAAGCAATGTAGGAAACTGGCTGACACATAAGGATAAGGATAAATGGTTGAAGAACATAAGGGGTAACCTGAGTTTGGTGGCTACGGTAATCGCAACAATCACCTTTCAAAGTGCACTAAATCCACCAGGTGGAGTCAGACCAGCAAAAGACGGCGGAGAAGATTTGGTTTGTCCAGCAAATGGCAGTCCATGTCCTGGAGAATCTGTCCTAGCTTATACAACGAAAGATGAGTATTCCTGGTTCCTCATTTGGAACACTACTTGTTTCCTATCATCTTCGGCTGTTTGTCTCTTGCTGGTCAGTGGATTCCCTCTTAACCACAGATTTTTCACCTGGCTTTTGTCAGTTGGCATGTGCATCACCATCACTAGTCTCACTCTTACCTACATGTATGGTGCTCAAATGGTCACCCCTGATCCTGTTTGGGCCGCATCCAACTCCATGTTTCTAAAAGTTATTTATATTTGGACTTCCCTGCTAGGACTAGTCACCTTTGTTCTTTGCCTGCGCCTGTTTATTTGGATTGTCACTAATCGGGATGGCAAAAAACCTAGAAAATAAGATATCTAAGCTAGGGATATATATATCACTAGTAATACTTTACTTGGTGTCAATATGTAGCTTCGGGGACCTATATCCAGCTTAGAACACCATGCACTAATTATCTATAACTAATAAATAATTTCAATGTCCTTATATCTTCATGGTGGCTTTCAATAATAAACTATCCATATTATTGTATTGCATAATGGTGTTTGGTATATATGTTATATTATTCAAGTTATTCTTTGTGCAGTTATATAGTTACTTTTGAAACTTGCTCTTTAAAGTACTCGTTTTTTTTTATCAGAAATAAATTATTAAAATGTTAACAGAAAACTTCTCATAATTATTGCAAATTATTATTTATATGAATAAAAACTTGATAGGAGATTAATAGTTGGATTTAATATATTTTTAAAGGTATATAAGTTGTGATAATTTGTCCTATTTACTATAAGCATCACCATTATACCAATACATTCTAACTAAATCGACACTCCTTTTGATTGATTTATCATTTGCATCATTTAAAAAATAGTATATATTTAAATTAAGATAAATTATAATAAGACTACTTTCTTTTAACTAAAGATACATATATTATCACAATATGTAGTAATAAAGTTTTATTTAAATTAACTATGTTATTTAAAATAATAATGATAAACAATATATTATAATATATTCACTTTGGTATATATCTCGCCAAATTTTCTTGAAAATATTAGTCATGAAAGTTCAAAAATATTAAAATTTAAAAAAAAATTATCAGTATAGCTTTTATAAACAGAAAATAAATATATGACCCCTAATGGAATACCAAGAAGGAAGGAACCACTCTTGTTTAAATAAAAACATATAATCTAATTTTTATTGTAGAGAAAAACTCTTTTTTTAGAAATGTTTATAAAAAACATGTTGAATCATCGTTTGTTAAACTTGTTTTGCTATTTATATCTAATAGTTTTCCATTTAGTGTGTGAGGAAGGTAAATTCCTTCTCCAATAATTTGTTTTCATCTTCCTTCACCACAAGAACCATGTCTAGGCGCCATCGCACAACCAAACCAAATCTTCCTTCTTATCACAATCTTATATATCGTATTAACCTTTTCATTATGGAAATTTAATCTCATCTAATAATTTGTTAAATCTTATCTTATTATTTCGTCTCTTTCACGATTAAGTCAGTAACACGACAATGCATCTTTTTCCCATGTAGGGTTACAAGTGTTGTTTTTGTGTGGAGAAGCCTCCTCCGTTCATTTCACTAAATGTTATTTATAGTACTTCATTTCACTAAATATGGGTATAGAAAAGACGAGGTGGTAACGATGATGGTAAAAGTGACAAGTCAGAATGTGTGATTGTATGATTGAATTTTATTTTTCTGTGTTTCTATTATTTTATATGAGACTTTTTAAAAATTTTAAAAATTTAAAGAATTTAACTCAAATTTAAAAAATTTGACTTAATAAACATGATAAATATTATACTCATTTATATACTAGACTATTATTATATTTTTAGTTAATATAAAATTTCATTACCGTGTTTACCTTGGAATATGATGATATTATATTATATTATATAGGTAAATATAATCATTAAATTACTAAGTCGCATAACAAATTTTCCTAGTATAATGAAAAAACTTTTCTCAAATTGAGGGGTAATCTTATCTGAATTAGATAATTAGATATATGATAATATTTATAATATATTATAGAATAATAATTATCTTGTTGAGTTACTTTTATAGAATTTAGTTTAAAATCTTATTATTTCTAATAAAATTGGAGGAAAATATAGGATTTAAAAGAGAGAAACTAAAAATTTTTGGTATAAGAAATTTTAGATGAGAGTGTCATAGAAAAGTTGTAGGTGTCCATAGTCGTGCATGTATTTGAACGTGTGTATAGTGAAAGAACAATAATGAACAACAAACCTATAAGTAAGAAAAGATAAAATTAGAAAGAAAAAAAAGAAAACTTTATTTCTCAACTTGTTTAATACAAAGCAAGAACGAAATTTATATAAAAAATGAGTAATAAACAGAAATTGTAAAAAAAGAATTAACGAAAAAACGGATCAGCACTGAAGTAAAGAAAATGGCACCGGGCAAGAAGAATCAAAGTGTATAAATTCTGCAGGATTTTTTTTATGTTCTAACAACCCCTCAAGCTTGACATAGATATTGATCGTGTCAAGTTTGGAATTAAGCGTATGAAAGGTGGATGGAGGTAGGGGTTTAGTAAGGATATTAGCAAGTTGCAAATTGGAGTGTATGGGGAGAAGTTTGACAATGTCTTGTTGAACTTTTTCTGAACAAGGTGGCAGTAGATTTCTATATGCTTTATCCTTTTATGGAAGACTTGGTTGGAGGCGATTTTGATGACAGAGATGTTGTCATAGAAGATGGTAGCAGGTTGAGAGAAGGGAATATGCAAGTCATTGTTGTTTAACCATTGTAATTCACAAATAGTTTGAGTAAGCACGCGAAACTTAGCTTCTGAATAGTTGCGTGAAACAGTCATTTGTTTCTTCGATTTTCATGATATAGGTCAGTCATCCAGGTAAACAATATAGCCAGTGATGGATTTTTGAGAGTCAAAACAACCAGTCCAATCGGAACCGCTATAAATTTTAAAAGTGATGTTGTCAGTAGTCTTTAAAAATATACCTTGACCAGGAATTTGCTTAATGTAACGCAGGATTCTAAAAGCAACTTAATGGTGTGTCTTAGTTGGAAAGACAACATATTGACTTAAACGATAAACAACATAGGTGATATCGAGATGGATGTTGGTGAGGTAGATGAGCCTCCTTATCAATCTTCGAAAAGCAACAAGATTGTCAATGGGATCATCATTAGAAGGTATTTTACTGGAAAAATTCATTGATGTACTGACAAGGGCTGCACCAAGCATTCATGTTTCATTGAGAAGGCCTAGAGCATACTTGCATTAGGACAAATGGATACCTTTGCTGCTTCTTGCTATCTCGAAACCCAAAGGGTAAGACAAGTTACCAAGATTTTTTATTTTGAAACTATCATTAAGCATTGTAGTGATGTGTCATCAGCCTTGTGTTTGGTTTTGTAGACACATTTACAACATATAGCATTTTTGTTGGGGGTTAGAGTAGTTATAATCCATGTATTGTTCTATTCAAAAGCTGCAATCTCTTCTCTCATGAAAGATTTCCAATGTTGTGCTGTAAAGTTTCCTTGTAGCTTTTGGGGTCAATAACGTTGTCTAAGGAAGAAATAAAAGTTCTATATGCAGGAGATAATCTATTAAAGGTCAAAACACGTTCAATAGGATATTTCACATTATGCTATACGAAGATACTTAAAAATCTTTTAGATATGATGGAGTATGCCTTATTCTAGTGGACCGTCTAGGTGAACTAGTTCTATTATATATGTTCCTTATCATGCTCCTTAGTAACAGACAGATGATCAGAAGTGTTAGTTTCAATATGAGGTCATTATCATAAAAAATCATATTAGCAGGTAATAGACAGATGATCAGAAGTATTAGTTTCAATATGAGATCATTATCATAAAAAACCGGATTAGCATGTAAAGGCAAAGGCAAGTGAGATTTGGTAATATCAGTAACATTTATTTCATGAAAATCATTTTCATAAAAAATGACAATTTGAAAATTTTTGATTTCATGAATTTCAAGATCATAAGTAATGTAATCTTTGGTAGTAGGATGCAAGCCAAGAAAAAGGCTAGACTTGGCACGAGGATCAAGTTTCTTCCAATTGGTTTGAAGAGTGCTGATCTAACAAAGACAAACAAACACTTTAATTCTATCAAGATCAAAGTCTTTCTGATATAGCTTCTCATAGGGAGAGTTATTATTGAGGAATGGAGTAGGCATATATTGATAAGGAGAGTAGCATAATTAAGAGCGTAAGTTTAGAATTGAACACTTTAGAGTGAAATAAAAAAGCTCTAATAACATTCAAAAGGTGTCGATGTTTTCTTTCAACTATATCATTCTATTAAGATATTTCATTGCAAGATGTTTGATGAATTATACATTTAGAATTAAAGTATACCATTGTCTGACATGATGATCTTATATTAGTTGTAAACTAATTTTTAACATGTGCAATAAAATGAATAATGTGTTAGTGTGTTTCAGATTTATTCTTCATTAAATGTACTCAAGTATATCGAGTATATGGTCATCAACAATAATTAGAAAATATCTATGAGAATGATTCTGTACAATACCTATTATAAGAAGATGTACTTTAACTTTTTTTTTTAATTGACTAATAGTTAAGAATTGCAATTATTAATCGGATAACCACTTCAATAACTTTATTTATATATAATTATTTCATTTATGAGTAAGACAAAATTAATTATATTTACACTAAAAAAAACCTATTATCTATGGTAAAAATTCGTACGTAATGACAAAAATCCGTAAGTAATGTCATTTTATCTACGGATTTTTTCCCGAGAAAATCCGTACGTAATTTACTTACGGAATTATTGTTCGTAGGTAATGCACTCACTTGAATAAAATACTACAAAGGTAAAAATCGAACTCAATACCTTAAAATTAGAGACCGATACTCCAATCACTAAGCTATTAAGATATTCCGATAATAATTTACAAATAAATTATATTTATATTTATACTGTGTAAATATATAAATATAAAATATATAAATACAAATATATTTATATTTTGATATATTTATATATTTATATATTTTGATATATTTACATATTTATATATTTATATGGATATATATTTATTTGTAAATAAATATAATTTATTTGTAAGTTATTATAAAAAAATCTTAGTAATTTAGTGGTTGATAATAACTTAGTTATTTATTAATCACAATTCTTTTAATTTGATATAATTTACCTACGGATAGTAATTTCGCAGGTAATTACCTACGGACTATATTACCTACTGATTCGTAGGTAATGGATAATTTATATAGGGATAGAATTCCGTAGGTAATATTTGTATGTAATGTATTTTAATTTGATATAATTTACCTACGGATAGTAATTCTGTAGGTAATTACGTATGGACGATATTACCTATGGATAATATCTGTAGGTAATGGATAATTACCCACGGACGGACAATAATTTCGTAGGTAATAAATAATTTATATACGGATAGAATTTCGTACATAATATTTGTAGTTAATGTACAATTTACCTACGGATTTTTATCTGTAGGTAATATCTGTAAGTAATGTATAATTTGCTTACGAATTTTTATCTATAGGTAATATTTTATAGATAATAGGTTTTTTTTGTAATGTTAAGTATTTAGTTAATTATGTGAGTTGAATTAGGATATTATTAGCAACGTGTGAGACAATTATTTACTATTAAATATCTCAACAACATTATAGTACTGTTGATAATATATGTTCGGATTTTTTTTTCTGAAAAAAAAAATAGAAGAGAGTTTTTACACATTATTTATGAGTTAATTTGTACAAATTTCTTTCTAAAACATCAACAACAACAAAAATAATAATAATAAGTTATATGTTAATTGGTTGTAAAATAATAAATTTTGGTGGAAATAACCGGGTGTACGACCCTCTTTATTCAAAAGCAAATGCACTATGATAAACTTTTTTTTTTTATGGGTGGGTCCTAAACTTTATCTAGTCGCGGGTATGCTTTTGGTGCTATGCATGAATTATTGCTCGTTTTGAATCTAAAAATCTGTCCCATGCACAATCATAATACCTATGCTTGTTAGCCACAATATAATATGTTTAATCGAGACAAATCTATCTAAATATTTTGATTCAGATTCAACCAAAATTTCATACATAATACTCAATATTGACCACAATAAATATCTTTACCAACCATTTTCTGCCTTTTCTTGGTAAGGAACTCGGGCATAATCATAAATTATTTATTTCATATTCACTCCTCCTACTAATCATTCAAAATAAGCTCTTAAAAATAAATATCCATTAATATATATATATATATATATATATATATATATATATATATATATATATATATATATATATATATATATATATATATATTCCAACTTTTTCGTTATCATCATGTGCAAAAGCAATGGGCTTGCATTTTAAAGTTGCTTTTCAATTAACTCATTGGACATATCCATGAAACTTATTTTATTGCAAATTCCCTTCAATACCCTTATTTCTTATCTTATGACCAGTTTTGCACGTATATATGTATTCAATTCTTGGCTTCAAAGACACATTATTTCAGCATTCACTTGAGCTATAATTTTGCAAGCATCAGATTCGTTGCAAGAGGATAATTAATAGCATCTAGAGCTATATATATCATCTCCGGCAAGAGAAGGTATGTGTTTGTGTGTGCATTTAGTCTAATCAACTATAAAAAAACAATTATCTCAAAAGTTATCCTTAAAACTATACTCGTACCCTACAATTACCAAACAACAATCTGTCACAAAAGATTAAATAAAAAAGAAACTCTGATTCGTCTCTATCAAACAATAGGCATGTTATTGTGTCGTGCTTTGCAGCTTTTGAAAATGTTTATGTTTCACATGTACATGGTTGACATATTCAAAACAATAAAACCTGAAAAATACTGATATGATTCTGAGATTAGTTCATGTAATTAAAGTTGATTGCAGAACATTACAAAATTAAATAATTTTAAACCATGCAATTAATTACACTGAGTGCAGAAGTGATCTAACATATGCAAAGTACTTGTTATTATTTCCGTGAAGATATTAGCAGAGATATATCAGCTACAATGGAGGATAAAAGTGAGTTGAAAGAAGAGATTAAGGGATGGAGAAAAGCTATAAACAGTATTGGGATTTGGCTGGCAAACAAGAACAAAGATGAATGGTTGAAGGACATGAGGGGAAATCTGAGTTTGGCTGCTACCATAATCACAACCATGACCTTTCAAACTGCTATTAATCCACCAGGTGGTGTTAGACCCGCTACAGATAGTGGACATGTGAAATGTCCAGATATGTTGGATGTTACGAATCCATGTCCTGGTGAAGCTGTTCTAGCTGTAGTTTTCCCAGATGATTATGTCAAATTCCTTCTGTGGAACACTATATGCTTCGTTTCATCCTTAGCAGTGTGTCTCTTGCTCGTGAGTGGGTTTCCTCTGAATCACAGATTTTTCACGTGGCTTCTGTCAATAGGCATGTGCATCACCATGACCAGCCTCACTTTTACCTACATGGTTGGAGCAGACATGGTCACACCTTATCCCGTTTGGAGTACAACCAATACCATGTTTAATAAAGTCATTTACATTTGGATTTCACTCCTGGGACTCGTCACACTTGTCCTTATTCTGCGTCTATTTGTTTGGATTTTCACTAAATGCATTGATAAAGGAAAATCATGACCAATCTAGTAAACTTCAGCTCATTCGTTCTCCTCCATTACATATTGTACTTTGCATGCATCTTATGCAATATCCCTGCGTAAATGGATATATTTGCTGTTTTTTAATCTATCGATGTTGTTTTATGATAATCTGTTTAGTGTTTATGCTCTTTGATGTTTCTATGGACAACTGGTTATAACTTTGGAGATGATACATGTATATGCTTTAAGTATATTGTTGAGTTAACGTTAGATTATTCATACGAAGAAGAAGCACAATTCTTTGGTGGAACTGTGACTAATATTTCTTATTGCAGAACATGTATAAAATTTAAATCTAATAAATATTAATTAATAAATTATATATATTTTTAAAAATAAAACAAAAATAAAAAGATACGAATTTTTTAAAATAACATATTTTTCAAAGTCTGGAAACTTAGAACATTTAATAATCATGGTTAAAAAACACAATTGTAGCATGCTTTAATTTTAACCAATATATTCTAAAAATATAAAACATAAATTACTAATAATATATTTATATTTAAAAATTCATATTAGATCTAATTAAAAATTATTAAAATTAAGCAAGGTTAATGAGTTATAACACAATAGGCCCAAACCCACCAGGCCCAATCTACGCTAAGGTAACGTGACAGTGAAAGGAGAGGCATTCCCATCAGCCACGGAGTAAGCACGCACTGTTTCCCCAATCTCATGTCCAGGGTTTCTATGGCAAACCCTCCTTCCTTCCCGGCCAGGTACCGATCCTTCCACCGAAACATCAGATTTTCCTCACTACGTGCTTCCTTCACTCTCGATCTGTCGCATAACAATTTTTTTTCTTCGACTTCACCGTTTCTGATTCGCGACCGTATCGTGATTTTTCCTTACATTGATTTTGTAGCATTGTGAATTGTGATTACTTGTTGTACTGGATGTTTTTTCACTGTGAATTGTGGTTTTGGATGATGGGTTTGATATATTGGGTGTACATTTCCTCAACTTTCATTGCCTTTTCGTTCCCCGTAACTTTTGCAGTGTTCAATTTCCAACATGTTTATTCAACATAGAAACCATGATGATTACGCAACTGTAGAAGGTGTTGTGGATTCTTCTTGACAGTATTTATTTGTGTTTTACGTTGAATATTTTCTCATCTGCAAAGTTGGCGTATGCCTTCTTTCTAATCTTCTCCGTGAAAGGAGTCTTCAAATGTTTAAATGAAGTATGCATGTGCTGTTTTGTGTTTATCATTGTTGTTTCAGGAAAGTTTGACATTAGGTATTAAATGATTATTTCTTGTACCTATATTTAAATTTATGTATTATATTTCTAGCTATGTGATAAATAAGAAGAATAATCATAAGAGAAATTCATGATACCTATAGAAATTATTTCATTCATTTTCATTTTGCATGTAGATTTTGCCTAGAATTTTTCTGGAAGCAGTGCCAGCAGTGCCGTTGGTGATGGAAAAACAGAAGATCAAAGCCTACCTTATAGAGAAAGAGTTCAAGTAAGCCTCTTATTAGTTTTCTACATACATATCTTAGGCTATGGCATTATTGGAGCAAAGTTATTTCCTGAATGTTACAAAATGTGTTGCTTTTGTTTATATGGTCTCTAATTTAGCTATTCAGTTTTTTATTATCATCGACTCTGAGGATAAAATAATTGGATTTGTCTCTTGATTGCATGTACAAAAGGAATTCTAGATATTGAATTTTAGTTTAGGAAGTAATGAACTAGCCACTTAATTGGTGACTGAGTTATGAGGCAGTGTACGGTCTCTTGCATGACCCTAGCATGCGGAATTTGGTGAGCAGTTGTTTCCTTTAATATTTGGACTCACATATACAACCACTTGAAAATATATATATCATCACCCTTGATTATTTTTATACTCTCTATGCAATAAAAAATTTAGTTAGGAAACTTTGCCAGTGATTCATGGTTAATATAATGTATGCAAGTGTTACATCTGAAAAAGTTGATATATATTACTTGCTTTACTGAGCCAAATCTGAAAAAGTAGAACATGTATTCATGGCAAGAACAAAAAATTGTTGGATAAAGCCATTTGCATCTATTACCTCTTACGAATTAGAAGAGTAATTGTCCCTTATCAAAATTAAGTAATATTTTAGTTAGGGCAAAAGTATCTCTATATCTATTAAAAGAAACCCCAAACTGAGTTCTTAATATATTTTAAAGTGAGTTTTATTTTATTCTAGTTAGTGCAACATCTCTATCATTATCCATGGATAATATTACGTGAGATCATGGGTTATGTGTTTGGAATTTTAATATAATTTGAGAGAAAGTGTAAGAAAATATCTTGCATATTTTTAAAAATATGATTACATAATCTTTTATAAATTATAAAAAAAATATCGTTTACAGACTATTTTACGATTGATTAAATGGTTTAAATATAATTTAATTTTTAATATACTACAAACTATGTCTTTCAAAATTAATAAGATTTTTAAATATTGTTTATGTTTTTTAAATTACAAAATGCACCTTAATAATTATGTTTATGGACATTTTACTTATGTAGGTGTTTTTTTTATAAATCTTCATATTTGAATTGTATGTATAACTTATATATATATATATATATATATATATATATATATATATATATATATATATATATATATATATATATAGTTAAAGAAATGAGATGATTTTATTATATTAATTTTTGTAATAGTTAATATTTTAAAAGTAAAAAGTAAAAATTAAAAATAATAGAATAATCCTGCTAAGATATGCTCCTAACACTCATTAGTTATTGTATATTGGGCTAACAATATTAAAACTCGTCTTGGGAGTTTTAAGTTGTATGTATCAGAAAAATAATAAAATGTTACTTCTCACTTTCAAATTTTTAAATTGGGATTTAAAAGATTTATTATAATTATTTACATTTTACTTTTGAATTTTAATTGTATAAAAGTATTTACATTTTGGATGAATATTTAATTTTGATAAATATTTATAAACTAGTTTTGTTTTGATGAATTTTATACAATATTATATATATATATATATATATATATATATATATATATGAAAAAATTTATATATTTTTAAGTCTATAATTATTTTAAAAAATATTGACCAATTTAGTGATAAAATAAGTAACTAGATTGGTTATAAATTTCATTCACAATTTCTATTATTAATTAGTCATGATAAGTCATGTTAATTTGATCATTAAATTAATTATTATATTAAACACTCAATTCAATCACTATTAGTCACGTCACCTATCATATTGATAACCTACGTGGTCACCAAAGTAGTGACTAAATCGGTTATTATGGATCATGAATGTGTGATTAATGGGAATTAGTCATTGAATCACGCACTATAGCACATCAATTTTAGTCATTTTAATGATCACAATTTTAGGCACTATTTGCTATTTTTCTTATATTGTTAGATTGGGTTTAAATTTAAATGGCTTAATGTATTAGGGTTTATAGAGATGTGATTATTGTCTTTGAATACAAATTCGGCCGCCTTTAACTCAGTATTGGGGAGTTGTGTATTATCTAATAATTCTTAGCATCCATCAAAGGTCAATCTTAGACCAATGTTATGGGGTAAGCGAATAGGGGAAGGCATCATTTCAAAAATTCAGATAGAAGGAGATTTTAGTAACAACTTAATAATCAACCGGCGGATAATTAAGGTTTCAAACCACAAATAAAAACACGAGCTATTAGAAAATAATTTATTAGATTGTTGTTAGTAAGAAAACGGAATCAACCAACTAAACCCTATAAATCTTACATAAAAGAAAAGAAAGACGAATAAAGTTTTTTTTTTCTATAAATATGGTGATCAAGCTTTTACTACATTTAAATTGATGAATTCAGTACTCTAAATTTAAAATAATATGATTTTTGTTTTTTTTATATCTAAATTTAATATTTAATAATATTTTATACCTTAAATAAAATTGATGAAAGGATTAGATGAAATTTTAATCCTTATTTATATATAATTTAATATTTAACAATATATTTTTATTGTCATATAAATAATATAAATATTAAAATTAAATATGTTTAATTTAAAAACTAATTAATCAATATTTAAAATATAAAGACCAAAATTAAGTTTAAAAAGTATATAATGACCTTATTTATTATATGAAACATATAATAAATTAACAAGTTGCTAAATTTTTTATGTAACAATTTCTGTATTAACACGTAAAAACATAGTTAATAAATATGATTAATACTCAAACATAATTATAATTATTATATGAAAATAATAAATATTTTATTATTAAATGATTATCATACTAACACACTAATCCCTACATGCTTAAATATTTCCATACTATGAGAATGATGCCATGCCATACATAGTGGCATATGATAAAAGAATGTGTGATAACAAAACCAAATTTCTGAGAATTCGGAAATTGATGCGAGACCACCTAATTACTCAGACATCGGTCCCACAAAAGACGACCCACGTTCAATATTCCCTTACAAACCAAACCTTTGCAATTTCTACCTGATAAGGATCCACTACTAATATGCCACGTAATCAATGTCACGTGTTTTCTGTCTTTTTACAACTTTCTCCTTAATATCTCTTCAAAATTATTGTCCTAAGCTTTTTATTACAAGATGCGTTTATAACTGCGTTTAAACCAATAAATAATTTTACAGAGAAACATGATTGATATAGGAAAAAATTACTTCAACATAATTGGGTGAAACTAATTCAAGTTAGTGGGGATCTTATTCACATCAGAGTATAATAAGTTAGATTTGTTGACTAATCCTACATAAATCAAAATTTTCAAGTCTATTTAAAAAAAAAAAACTAGACCTCAGGTTATTTAAAATTTAAGTCTTACAAATTGATCCACTTAATTAAATAATATGAAATTCTATTTCAATAACTTTATTATCTTATTTTATTAAATTCTTAGGTAATATTTTAAAAAATATATTTATTGTCTATTTAAAATATGATTTTTTTAAAATGGATTTTCATATTTAGTCAAAAAGTAAATAAATCATATTTAAACTTTAGGTTTAGAAAAAAATGTTTTAAGGTTAACAAAAACTTAATCTAATATATTCATTTTAACTTTCTTTAGAACATGTTTAATTTATTTTTTATTTTATTTTTAGAAATAGTTTTAGAAGATCAAATTTTAAAAAATTAAAAATAAATTATATAAATAATTTTAATAACTTTATAATAATGAAAATAAATAATTTAATATAGTTATTTTACTATACCAAATATAATCGAATATTTAGCTTCAAAATTATGTGGAATTTTAATCTTTTTTATTTATTAAATGTTCGTAATTTCTTATTTAGTCTTTTTTTTAATATTATTTAATATAGACTCTATTTACCAAATAGTTTCCCGTTTAAAGTTTAAGATATGAAATATAGTAAAAAGCAATATATGAAAAATAGTATATATATATATATATATATATATATATATATATATATATATATATATATATATATATATATATATATATATATATATATATATATATATACTATTCTTAACCTTTTACAGATTCCCGTTTTCTATTCACTTTGTGTATTGATAATGAAGCCAGAGCATGTGAATTTTACACCTTTTTTACATTCCTCCCAAAGTGTATTTATTTTTTATAATTTACAAACTCGGAAGCATAAAATATATAACATTTTCTATTAAATTATTTTAATTATTATGTTGTCGAGTGGTTTACTACAATAGTGGAGCTAAATTATATTAGTTGGGGTGATCATATAATTAGTATTATAATCTTTTTATATCACATTATAATAGTAAAAGAGTGATTCCTTTTAAATAAAATAAAGCAAAATAATTTTTTCAAAAATATTTAATCAAATAAATCATCTATAAGAGAGCATTAGTCTTGCAAAGTAAAGGACAAAACCTTCAATATATATATTGTGAAAGCAAAAAATAAACCTTGATATTAAAAATTAGTAAACTTGAAAACATTTTTTTTTCTTTTCGGTCCACTCTGTCAGACTTTGCATTCTTCTCTGAACTCATCTCCTAGCATGAACCTTATCCATTCATCTTACCATCTAACACTTTAATAATAAAAAAGTTAAAAAAAATAATTTTAATCTTTATAAATCTAATAAAATATCTTGGTGATTCTTATATTTTTATATTAATACAAAATCAGCAGTTCTTAAACATTAAAAAATATATATGCTAATATTAAAATGAAAATTAAATTCATATAATTTTTAATTTACCAAATTTTTTTTATTGTATTACGTTTTAGCCTGTCTTAAAAAAGGTAAAAACTAAAAATATTTTATTTATAAAAAAAATAAAAAAAAATACTGATTAACTCCAACCAAACAAACTGACACGTAATTTTATTCCACCACTTCATGTGACTAAACATAATTATTTTAACGCTGATCAAAGGAGTCACATGGTAGGGGTGTGGTACGTTTCACATGAGAACAAAGCTCGAGCCACCCAGCAACACTGGATAAGGATTGCCACGTCACCATTTTTCGGACATCACTCCATCTGACAAACCAACAACAGAAACAAAAAGACCTAATCCATGACCTACACGTGTCCATTTCATCCTCTTTCTCCACCTACAAATCTCCTTCTCATTCCGGTTACCCCTCTCCTTCTTTCTCTCTCTCTCTCTCTTTCTCATGCACTGTTTGTTTGTTCATGCTCTGAACATTTTATCTATATATGCCTCTCTGATGCTGATGGGTGCCTCCAATTTTCCGGCAAGCTTCAAACTTTCCGTCGCCGGCGCAGATTTCGATTTCTATCCGGTATGAATCGCTTGCGACACCCCCTTCGTTGATTTAGAAATGCTAGATCTGCTCATCGTGTCACACGTTCGATCTAAAACGTGGTTCCACAAGAGGAAAAAAAAGCCACCCACTTCGTTCCGACGAACCCTAGTTATATTTCCCTTCCAATTTCGCAATACTTGATTGTAATTTGCGAATTGTACAGCTAGAATTTCTTTCCCCCTTTTTAATATTTTTTTAATATTTCCTTTATTTTTCAATTTTCTTTGCTGGGTTTGCGAAGGTTGTTCAGTTAGGCTTGGGGGTGTTTTTTAAGGAAATACCAGATTTTGAATCTGGGTTTTTGTTGGGACGGTGGAGAAAAAGGATATAAAAAACGGTCACTGATTGCGATTTTGGCTGCAACTTCAAGGCTTTTGAGGTGTCGTCACCTCAGTGGTGTCTGCATTTGTCTGTAATTTTCTGCAATATTAAGGAACGTGACAAAACTGTGACTGTAACTTAAAGCTTGGTAGTGAAAGTGGGGGAAATGAGCATGAGTATGGCAGATGAAGAATCTAGTGAAGAGGTTCATGTTCCGGGTGAGATTGATTGGCAAATGCTTGATAAATCCAAGTTTTTCTTCCTTGGTGCTGCTCTTTTCTCTGGGGTTTCTGCAACCCTTTACCCTGTCGTTGTGTTGAAGACTAGGCAGCAGGTGACTCAGTCCCAAGTTTCTTGCATCAAGACTGCATTTTCATTGATTAGGGGTGAGGGATTTAGAGCACTGTATCGTGGGTTTGGGACTTCTTTGATGGGTACAATCCCTGCTAGGGCTCTTTACATGGCTGCATTAGAGGTTACCAAGAGCAATGTGGGCACCGCCACTGTTAGGTTTGGTCTTGCTGAACCCACTGCTGCTGCAGTTGCCAATGCAGCTGCTGGCTTGAGTGCAGCCATGGCAGCTCAGCTTGTGTGGACCCCTGTTGATGTTGTGAGCCAGAGGTTGATGGTTCAAGGTTGTTGTGAGTCTGGAAATCCTAAGGCTTCGGCATTTCGGTACATCAATGGGATTGATGCCTTCAGGAAGATACTGAACAATGATGGTCTTAGGGGCTTGTATAGGGGTTTTGGGATCTCAATTTTGACCTATGCCCCTTCCAATGCAGTTTGGTGGGCTTCTTATTCTGTTGCACAAAGGATGGTCTGGGGTGGAGTTGGGTACTACATGTGCAAGGGCAATGATAATGCAGGTAATAGTGCTTTGAGGCCAGATACAAAAACTGTGATGGCAGTTCAGGGAGTCAGTGCAGCAGTGGCTGGTGGCATGACTGCTTTGATCACCATGCCACTGGATACTATCAAGACAAGACTACAGGTCTTGGATGGTGACGAGAACGGCCGTCGAGGACCCACCGTTATGCAGACAGTGAGAAGTCTGGTTAGGGAAGGAGGTTGGATGGCTTGTTATAGAGGATTGGGGCCTAGATGGGCTTCAATGTCAATGTCTGCAACAACAATGATCACTACTTATGAGTTCCTCAAACGGCTCTCCGCGAAAAACCAAGAGGTTTTAACATGATGAAGGATAGGTTTATGACAGCAAACAAAAGGATAAACAAAGAGAAGAGGAGGATCATCTTTCCTCCCTTCTATGCCTGTTTTCTGTTCTTTCCACTTGTCAATGTTGTTTCTTCTCTTTTAGCTTACCACAATGACTGCGTGTTCAATGCAAGTCATTTGAGGTTATTACATAAATAAAAATTTACTTCTAACACATCTATTCTATATTTCTGAGTCACCTTTTACATAGAAGTTTGATTTGATAATCACGACTCACTCTGGTTTTCAAATTGAATACCATGAACTAGCTAACTTAGCTACTCTAGAACGCAAGAATCATGTCATTGGATTTCAAAGTTATGCAGCTTTCTGGTTTCCAACTTGAGTCTTATCTACCATGTGATCTACTCAAGACTTTTCAAACAAAAAAGAAAAAAGTGTTGAGTTGAGACTATACCAGTCACATGAGCATTGAGAATCTTCTACGTATTTTACTACTCAAATTTACCAGGTTAGTTATTAGGAAGTGGGAACAACTTTCAGGTATCTATTTTATTTGTATATATAGTGGACAACTTTACTAGAATGGTGGGACCACCATTACCAACATGTTGAATGGTAGACCAGACTTAGCTCATTTTCAAAAATAAAATCCCCACTGCTTATAAATAAATAAATAAAATCACATAATGGTTCTATTGCATTTTTGTACAAATCTTTATATTCTATAGAATCTTGAACATAATTAATTTACTGTCTTATAGGTTTAGCCCCAGAAGTTTTCATTAAAAAAAAAAAAAACCTGTAATTCATTGCATTTTTCTATGCACATGCTCTGTTTAGAAAAAGTATAAATATCTTTCGTTTATAAGTTAAATTAACATTTAATATGAAATAATGCTCAGACAAGGTTCCTTTCTTGTCTTGAACCATGTTTTGGATTCCACTTCTGACAGAGTCTCTGATTTCTATTATTTGTTTATAGGTTTTGGAATATAATAAAGTGTTCGATTCTTTAGGAGAAGAATCCATGTATTTCACAAGATAAATAATTGAAATAATAAGTGCCACTTGTCCAAAAAATATATTTTAAAAAGGTTTTATCTTTTTAAATTGGTTATCTTGTGAACTTGTAAAAAGGAAAACATAGTGCAAAAATGGATATTATAGCAGGAAGGTGGGTAGCCCTGGAATAATGTATAAATAAATGGACAGTGCACAAACATATAAAATGCATCTTAATAAACAAGAGTAAATTGCGTAGCATTTTTTAGTAAGAAAAGCCAAAACGCATAAATAAATTTCATTATCCTTTAAGCATTGTTCATGTCATATTATCCCTATCCTCATCCTCTAAGCAATTAATATATTATATTTTAATCTATTTGGATATGACTGATTTTTATTTTATTTTTTTAAGAAATGGCTGGCTTCTTAAAATAGTTTAGATTTGGGTGTTTCTTAATAATGTTAATGACTAGTTTTAAATTTCTATTATTACTTTTTAAGACTTTAAAATAATTTATTGGAAAGTTACAAATGGTTAGGGGACAAGAATGTCCCAGTAAAACTATTTTACAAAAATTTATTATAAAATTGAATATTTATATAAATATACATGTAGTTATGTAATTTATAATATAATTGAACTATATAATATTTATTCCTATAAGTTACTTTGATTTTGATTTGAATAAAAGAATATATTTTGATTTTTATAAGTTAAAAAAAAAAAAATTGTCTTAACTAGCAGCACTGGTGGACCTAGACCATTTGAGAGTGGACAGTTGTAATCCCTCAATTTTGAAATTACAATAAAATATTTAATTTTTATCGACACAAATTTAACTATTGATCTCATAACTCTTCATAGGATACTATACTACTTGTTCTTATAGCAACATTTAAAAAAAAAAATCTTTTTATTTTCATATACAATTTTAATTTTCATGCTAGTATTCTTGTACCTTCGTTGCATACACTTTAGTTATGTATGTACTTAATAAATCACTTTAGTTATGTATGTACTTAATAAATGAAAAATAACGTAGCATAAAAAATAATCAAACGTAATTTCCTATCATTCAACCATAAACTATACCTAAACAATATTGTAAACATAACTATTTTAAAATTCAGTGTTGTTTATAACCATTAACATAATTGATCTTATTTTCTTTTATAATATTTTAATCTCGTATTAATTTAAATTTATTCATATTTTTACTTTTTGTATTTTTATTTTCTATTTCAATTTTATAATTAAATCAAAATTAATTAATTTATAAATAATATATTTTAAAAAATGATCTTATTTTTCAAAAACAAACACTAAAATCGTGTTAGCATAATTTTAATAAAAATCATAAAATAAAATAAATTCAGCACGATTTAAAAAAAAAAACAAAAAAACCTACGACTAAGATGGTGTTTCGTGACACGATTTTGTCATTGAAATCATGTTTTCTTTCACCTACTTTCGTGAAAATTTTCGAATTCAATCCTATCACGTAAATTTGGATTTTTCTAACCCAGCTATGTAAAAAAAAAAAAAAAAAACTTTTTATCAACTAGGATATTAAATATGAAGTTAAGCCTGAAAGTAACAAATTTGATCACTTGAAGGTAAGGCTTTTCCTTCCTCATGAAATACAAACCCATTTGAGACCACTCTGCACATAAAGAATGAAATAGGAATACACATGTCCTGTCAACAGCCAGTCACTGAAGTTTTTTATTTTCATTCTCCATCAACATGGACAAACATCCTTTCCAATCTGAAACTTTGTTATCCCCATTGGCCACCTCAAATATGAACCCAGTTTGTGGGACAAAATCCAAGGCTGCTACACAAACAAAGGCAGCATCTTCTTTGCTGATGCTTCCACTAGCTGAACAACCCTGTTGGAATAAACATAAAATGGATTTACTAATCCTGGCTATGATGTCATAAATAGCTAGCACCTGCTTTTGTTCAGGAGATTTCAGGTACAAGTTATAAATGATGACCAAATAAGTCTGCATTTGCTAATGCTTCCAAAATTTCAGTCAGCAATAGCATAAGCACTTGAGAATGTTTAAGATGGATTGATCATAAAGAGGGTCCTTTGAAACTTCTCTTTCTTCTTAATTTGTTTTGTTCATTAAAAGAAAAAATTAAGGACTATAGTCTGTACCTCATCAAAGGAAAAGCCTTGCTTCCCACCAGGTGTATCTTGTAATGCACCTGTCCTAATTATGGTGTAAGGAATTCTTGAGGTCTTCAAAACTGATTCATCTTGCTCAGCTAGTTTCTTTGCATTGCTTTTCATCATGGATTGAAAGCCACTTTTACCGCTATAAGCTGACAACTGCAACTTTGTTAAAACAAAAGGAAGATTGTGTTTGTGGTGAAAAGAAATGTAAATTGGGATGAGGGTGGAAGTACCTGAGATAACACTATTACATGTTGTACTCCTTGAAGGCCCCCAACGTTAGAAAGAAAACCCTCCTGTAAAGAATGAAATAGTTCAAACATTTATTCAGAAAATTTGTTTGCAGGCCAATTCTCATCATTATTGCCAAAAACAGGAGAAAATAGAACGAAATAACCTCAAGGACAGGTAAATTGTTTGAATTAAAAAAAAGCATGTACTTTCACTATAATTTATATCAATATCAATAATCATGCTAATATACTTTTTCTATGTCTGCTAAGTTGATCAGGTACGTGCCAAATTAACCCTCTTGGTCATTCCATAAAAATCATATTCGAGAAAAATTCATTTTCCATATTATAAATCTCAATAATATCTTTCTCACATGAGCTAAAAAGAGTCTTGAGTTGCTAATTTTACTTTTCCTAAATTAAACTAGGATACCACAATGAAATCAACCTCTGAGTAGCAATGACTTGTGGCGGTTTGTATTTGAAAGTTACATCGCAAGAGAAGCTTCACTTCTTTACACACAGAATATGGCCTTGACAGAAACTAAACTTTGTTGAAAAAGCTATGAATAAGAAAATCTGGTTAATGGGGTTGGATTTGTTTGCTCCATCTTCGAAACTTTGATTCATGGTGCTTAAGAATGTCTAGTACCAACTGTAATCTATGCGAACCAAAGCTTATCTAGAGAGACATGGCATGGTATTCATACATTCGGGCATATGATGGTGCGAACTCCTCTGAGAGCTTTCTTGATGAATCGATTGTCACTTGTTTCTCCTACCATTGACTTTGCAACAAGCATCACGTGATCAATAATAAGAATCTGAAAAATAGACAAAACTACAAACAAACAATATACCGTCACCATCTGCTAGTGGTTTTGCAAATTAACGTCACACACCTCAACATAACTTCCAAAGGCTTCAAGTGCAACCCTTTTATCCTTCACCAGTGCCTTTACTCGAGCTTTTTTGACAATCAATGACAGTATCACCATCTACGTAAGTCAGAAAATATGAATTCAACTCATCAATTCATTATATCTATTCATAACAAGAATATAAAATCGGAATTTCAAGATTCTTAAGCATCAACTTATCAAGTAAGGCTTTTAGGTTGAAATAAAGTTTGATAACAAGTAAGGCAAGCAGACCTGACCCATCTCACTATCTCCATCTGTTACCAGCACTGCATCCCTGACTTCATCTTCTGTTTTGTAACACTTTGTCAAAACAAAATCACCAACACTAGAACCAAATGATAATAAGATTCTCAAACAAAATCTAGGCATTGTCATTTATAGATCATTGTTTATTTACCCACCCGAATAATCATCCTCATCACCTTCTATGGCAGTACCATCTTTTTCAAGGATTTCGGGTGCACCATACCACTTCCTTAATTTGGGACCCCCTGAAAATCAACAAGAATCAAAGGTAATAAGCAAAACAGGAAAAAGAAAATATTGGAAACACAAGGTTTTGAAAAACAGTCTCAAACCATGATTACGGCCACATCAACATTTCTAGAGTTTTCTTACTGCATCGCAAGCAATTACGGCCACATTAGACACACTTTATTGCAATTATCCACAATACCAAATATCGTGCAAATCACTTCCCAACCACGGTTTAAAACCTTGAAAAGAAACTTAATTACAAGAACAAAATAACTACAGATGAGGTATGTGTAGAAAGTAGCCACCTTCAATATAATCAAGAATTTGCTCCATAAAGCTAAGTTTCTTCTTAGCATGACAGACAGCTAGAGGTGGAACAGCGGAACCATTCTCTCTGCTTAATGCGTAAGAGAATCCAGATGGTGTTCCTGAACTTTGAGAAGAGAAAGGAACAGACTTTTGAAACGATAGGGTAGAAGAAAGCGTTGCAGCATACGCCAACACCATTGTTGGCAGTGTTACACTCCAACCGTTTCTTCCCGCTAGAAAGGATAACGCATTTCTTACCAATCATGCCATTTCATTAATAATTAATAATCCCTGAAAAGGAAATTCAATATTTTTAATCAGAGCCGTCAAAACACTTCAATTCCATGATCCAAACCGTTGGATTGTCTCAACCTAACATCTCAAAATCCCAAATGCATCCCCTTTTAGGACCTGCCATAACAAAATTGCATAAAAGAGGCTGCATTTTTTCTTCAGAAAGCTGGAGACCCAGATGAGCAAATAGACACGGGCGAGTCTTAATTTGTCTTTTAAAACCTATCAAATATGTGTAAAGTTTCAAATTTTTGTTTCTGGGATTTTCTGTTTCAGAAATGTAGAACATGTGATGACCATTTTTATAACTATAGTTCATTTAGTGACGAAGTTGAACTTTTGCAGTGTATAATCACAATTTTAATAGATGGGTGCCTAACTGTAGTGTAAATTTTGTCATTACTCAAATAAAAATTCGTCTTTTATAAAAAATAAATAAAAGGTTAAGTTTACATTGCATTAATGAAGCTAGATAGCATAAATAACAAAATTATACATGGGCTAATAACAAATGTCTTGTATATAATTGGTAGTTGTTATTAAAGTTCTTTGTTGCAGCAACAGAGAATCTCTTCAATAACTCATCCTTAAAACTTTCTGAAGTTATATATTGTTGTCTTGTCTCTTCTTTAAATACATGAACTATATCAACCGCAGGGAAACCTTCACTTCACCTATGATTTAGTATTCTGGAAATCAAATAAGTTGTTAGCCTTAGCTATCCACCCATCTTTATAATTGGAAGAATGAACATGGAAATTTCGATATGACGATGATAAGACTGAATCGTTGTTAGTTTGTAACGTTAGTCGCTGTAACGTCGTAACTTCCACCAAGTAACCTGGTTATGAGAATTAGATCTCTGCATCACAACATTCATCTCCTCCACATATTCATCAGATCCTTTTATTCTTGGATCCATTCTCATCCGACACGTTATACCAATTCTTATATTCAAGAATTTAAACGCGCAGAATATTGAATTATATTGGTAATTTAATTTTAATAAAAACTATTTGTAAGTTAATATTTTTATCAGAAATAATTTGGTCTTGTGACAAGCTTAGGATGATCTCAATTGTGGAGTTCTCTTCTAGTCCAAACATACCACTTAAAACATACCATTCAGTGTAATATATGTTCGAAAATAAAGAATCAAAATCATCTGTTCAGACTTTTCATGTCAAGATATTGTGATTATTTAGAGATTAATAGACTCATCCCATTCCGAAATTACCTCACAGTAATGCTTGAATGTTAGGATTGTGACCCAACTGCATCCAAACTCAATATAGAAAACCTCCCACACCATATGGTGCTGGGGACACACACTGCCTTAGGGTATGTTTGTGACAACTTGAATTTCTATTTACTGAATTCATCAATTATTTTCTGTCACATTTCCAAAAATGCTGGTTCCGTGAACATTAATCCTATGTATTGTGGTCTGACGATTCAAGCACCCAACGCATAATCAATTTAAACAGGTATTATCTAAAAGAACAAGGTCTCATGGTTTCAACTTCACCAGTTTCCTGTGATATGAAGCATGCACACATTAACTAAAAATAGAGAGAAACATCTCCTGTAAACATTAGCTTAACCACTCTTTTCCCCAGTGCAAAGCTTAGAGTATGAAAAACTCCATTACAGGAATGTACCTACGAGCTGACCCTTCAATGTTGTAGAAAATCTCTAATGTACGCATTCAGCTTTTAGATGCACAATGGCTGACCAGGATAACTTTTTGCCGAAAAGCTTCAACTTCAGTTTTGGGGAAGGGGTTGCAAACAAGCAACGACATTACTAGACATTCATTTAAAATAAAATTGTTTTTCATTAACCTAGTCTTAGAGTGACATTAAGGAAAAGACTTCACTTTCCCAAGTCAACAATGCATAAACTACAAATTGATCATATCCAAGAAGGCGTCAACTGAATTGCAGCTGACACTAACAAAACCAAACACAGCAGAATACTACAGACTAGAAAACAAACCTACATCTGTCAAGCACAAACTATCCATAAACTGCAACATCTAGGAAGAAAAGCTGAACAACATGATCAGCAAAGAGTCCAATAATGATTGTCAATGATGGAACAACTGGCTCATGTCCGTCAGGGGCGAGCTCTCTTGTTACTGCATGATGGGCACTTGTATTGTTTGATATGCTCTGCCCTAGCTGGGGTAATCTTCACACATTTACCATGGAACCATTTCTCACAGATGTCACAGCAAATCCAGAATTCATCAGTGCCATAATGCTCACCACATGCCCCACACAACGTCTCTCCATGTTCATCATCATCTTGTTCGTCCAGTTCTTCATCCTCTTCTTTTGGTTGCAATGGCTTTGACTGTCTACTCTGAGATTCCGGAGCCCGTTGCTGCGCAAGACAATAATTAGGTGAGAAAGCAAACAAGCTGAGGTAAAAGAGAACCATGATAACAACATGCATCATATGAGAATTACAGCTACAAGGCATTCCATAAAAACCACCACTTCAACATACTTTGGAAACATCATTGTGATATGATTACCACGTCCAGAAATTCGAGCAAAGAAATTCCAAAATCAGATTAGAATTCCAAATTATACAAAAACATGATAGGATGTTCAGATATTTTATCCCCATTTTCATCTAACCCATTCCCTACAGGAATGAGGGTGGTAGCTAAGTGTCCAAAAACCAAAAGAGCATTATTTATACAGGTAAGGAACACAAAAGATTGAACGTTGATAAGCAGATATATGTTAGCATCTGCTATAACTCTTAAGGAATAAATTTCATGTTAGAAGTACAACAGTTTGCAGGTCAAAACTAGAATAAAAGGCCAACTACAGAGATATTTTCATTTCACCAACACTACAGTAGAAACAGCTTAATGTCAAGGAATATAAGCTGTATCAAGGTCATAAAGTTTTAATGCATATTGTTCCTCATTCTAACTACGCTAGAGCTGTCCTTAATTTCTATTCATGAGAAATTTTATCTCAGCGAGCACTCATAATAATCTGCTTTTTCTATATTATTTTTTAAGAGCATATCAAAGAATGTCACTATCCATAACTATCCATATTTTCTGTCAAGAGTATACTCTAGGGATAGTATATCATGATATTAAATCCCTAATTACCACACACAATGATATCCATGAAATTTCATACTAGATTTATATTCTGAGGATTTATATTCGCATACATTATACATCATCACCACTTTCATAAGATTTACACAATATTAATTAACTCTCGTAAACTTATACCTCATTCTATTATACATTATAGAATATAGATTGAACTCTCCTAAAATTAATTAACTCAATGACCATGGTACTTAAGTTTAACGAGGCCAGGATCTACATACTGACAACACCTGAAGATCAACCTGAGTTAATTTATATCCAAAAAAGAAAAGGTATAAATGGAAAATATATTTATAGGCCCATGCACAGGTGTGAGAAGAAATTATTACTGCCTTAGAGCTGGACTTAGACTTGCTGCCACTGAGGTTTGAAACAGAAGACTTCTCCTTAACTTGCTTCTTTGCTGCACCAGTAACAACTTCAAATATTGTTGGCAGTTCATTGATCATGTTGAAAAGTCGTTTCCTGCATTATATATGCAAATCATGAGTACATGGATGAATGAGACATGTAAAGAAAATAACTGAATGAGACAGATAAATCAGTCAAGCAGGTTCCAAATGCTTGATGATTTTCCACACCAACTTCAGTTAACTTGAGGCCAGATTATGCAATACCTGTCAGCTTTATCAAACCCAAATCTGGCTCCAAAATAGAATGCAATAGCAAGCAACCATGCATCACTATGGACAGCAACTAAAGATAGCCAGTCTTTTTCTTGCATGCCATCCCTAGCAAAGTTAATGCCCAGCACAGGCTCAGGAAGCTCAGGTGGTACTTCTTCAGCAGGTAAATTTACTTCCCACTGTTCACTGGGGAAGCCATACAAACACAGATTCTCCTTCTCTGAAAGAATGACAGGAAATGATTTATAAAACATGAGCACCAAATAGTGTATCTAAAAAGGAAAACTTATAATTGCTAAAAAATTCTTAATCCTTTCTCTATGGTATTTTTGTTTGCAGCTGGTAGAGCTGCAAAATTAATACTTCTGTTTACGAAGAAAAATTTATAAAAATTACCACCAAGAGACTGAGAAGCACGAGGCACTCAATTAAATTTAACATAACTCCACATAAAAAGAATGTCTATAGGAGAATAGCATTGACAGTGACATGAGTATTACAAGTTGACAATGTAAATTCATTCCCCTTGAGTTCAGTCAATAAAACCAGATTCGGTAATCACATTTCAATAATGAAATAACTACTCATGAAATATAAAGGGAAAATTCACATCATGTCAAACTCTATTGTCATTCAAGAATTGTTTTCATATACTATAGCAGAACTTTACAACCTGCTTTAAAACTATCCGCAATTACAGTGAATCAAGGAAAGCAACGTGTGCTCAAATGCAAGTTATGACCACTTTGATTATTGCACAGAATACAATCCCCCAAATTTGAAGCTACTTAATCATATGTTAATGAACAGTTAATTTGAATTGAATTCATAACTAAGTCAATTAAACAAGACATCACAAAGGAATTAATATTAGAAAAGAACCAGGAGAGGTGTAAATTAATCAAGAGAACAGGTAACTTGGAAGATTTTAAAATGCGATCCTCTTATAAATTCACAACATTACATATATTATTTAGACCGACATGCAAAGTAAAATATCCTTCAAACATCATAGTAAATCAACAAAAATATTACTTATTTGTTAATCTTTACAGAAGCCTCAATTGAATCCAGCAATACTATAAGTTAAAAGCTAAATGACCATTCAAAAACACAAGGGAGTATAACTAACCAGGGTCACATTGGTTGTAGAAATCTTCAACATCTGCAACAGCATAGAAAAAAGGTCCATTAGTATGAAAAAGTTTTCAAAACCCTCACACATATAAATTGTAAAAGATAAACAAATACAAAAGGCTGAGCATCACATTCAAGCATTGAAATTAATAGATATTAAAGGCCTGTTTAATTTTCTCATAACCTTTTTGTTTAAAAACTGATTTTTAATACAATTTCACAATTCTCATCAATCTATTTCTCATCCAAAATCAATCAAGTTTTGAAAATTGTTTCCATAACCAGTGTTTTAAAAACCAAATACAGTTGAAAAATGTGCTCAGGGAAAACTTTTAGAAAAATAGAAATGTGCTCAAAGGAAAAAACCTTTCAAATATATCCACCTAGGAGACACATTTTATTAAAAAAAAAAAAAAAACTGTTTCAAAAACAGTAAACAAACAAAGATCCGGAAATAAAAGAAACTGACAAGAAGAAACGCTTCATATATGTGTTTGGATTGCTGTTTCAGAGGCACCCAATGTCCACTCACACTTTCCAAAGCTAAAAACAGTGAAGTAACAATATTGGTGGATGAGGAAACTTGTGGGCTACCCATCGTTTCCCCAAATACACCAAAGTAGAAGTTGCAATTGCAAGTTAAAATATCACAAAACCACCACATTAAGTGCTAAGCAAACCAAAGTTAAGCACACTGAAAGGTGAATAACAAGAAGAAAAGGAAGAAACACGTGCAAATTCCATACCAAGCACAAATCAAACAACCCACACCTACTGTGGTAGTTTTAAAAGCCTCTTCCTGACACCACAATACAATGCCAGTAAGGAAGCCACTAATTGACACAAAAATCAAATCAAATGAAAATCAACCACTGAAAACCATCCATACAACTTTTGAAAATCAAACACATTCACACGGAAGCTATGTAGCATAATCGCAAATTTAAACAAAAAAAAAAAACATTCAAAAATCAATTTTTGACATAACAAACAAACCTAAATTATCACCTGCAATTAAAGTTCAAAAAAAAAAAAATCAAAACACTCCAAGTGTTAAAACCAAAATTGCTAAACCGCACCTCTCATTTGTCAAGGACAATAACAGCGACACGGAACACGAAGCTAAACCCACAGGGAAAATTTCACCAACCCATTAAGTAAAACC